GTATTTGAAAGCAGACTAGTGAACTTGGGTAAACTTCCTGGGAGCCCAATTGGACGGTTATTACAAAGGTTGTCTTTGACTCTAAAATTATGGTAACCAACCAAAAATGATGACTTTTGTCTAGAGATGTGGAGACTAGCTACAATCTTAGTAATATGTTTAAGGGAAACATTAAGGATGGGGAATGGTGGGCCACAAAACTTGATATGCTTTCTTATTTCCTGAAATGCAAGACACTCTGGGTCAGAATGGTGCTGAATGGACTTTTTATGCAGACATGTTTTTATCTCTACAAAAATTTTGTAGGCACCCATGTTACACCAACTAATTAGAGCATTTAGATGTCACAGCAATATGCAATTTAGAAATAGTTTATAAAATGCTTTAAAATGGAAGTGCTAGGTAAGCACTTAAGTTATTATATATTAAAAACCTTTCGTATGTCACTTAGTAAGACTCCTTAAAAGGCATAGTACTTTATAGGTAAACAGAATTTCTGATCTTGAATCATTAATATTAGTTTATTTAGAGTACAATGCTATTAAAGAGCAAATCAGAGATACTGATCAAGTTATCTTCACAGTTTATATTAATTATTCATATCTCCCTCATCCTTTCACAGACCAATTCAGCCTTCCTTCAGGTTCTTGCTGATTTTATGGAGATTCCTCCCACATATACCTGATTCTTGGTTCTTCTGAGTGCCCTACCCTGTTTTTTCTTTGCACCTATTTGCCTTTAGGTGTTTTGTATGAACCTGTGATTTTATGACAACCCTAAACAGATTCAAGCGAACAGGCCACATGATGAGTGACAATAAATCCTTTTAGAAACAATGAAGCCATGAGATGCAGCCAGTGGTCACCACTGGGCACATGTACTATCATTAATCACTTCAGTCTACTATCATCATTCTATACCTCTATGTCCGGTAACTGAACTTTGCTTTCATCTCCTGACAGGTCTTGGTTCAGAGGTATTAAAACTCAACATAATTCTATTTATCATCCGCACAAGACTACTCATAGGTAAAATTTTAGAAAAGGCAAATAAGTTTTTGATAATTTCCCACTTACCCCTTTAGGACTTCCCTACATCTTCATTGGTTTTTCTGAATCTCTTTTACCACTCTAAAAAAAAATGCTCTCTATGCTTGCCCCATGACTTTGATTGTTCCTCATCCCTCCTGCCATTTAAATTTAGCTCTCCAATGTCCTGCAGCATATTTTCTTTACTGAAAAACCCAAATGAAGTCATTCTTCTGTACAGTGAGTGTTAATGTCTAACCATACTAAATTAATCCTGTCTAGTGCCCAACAACCTTCCTGTTAAATCCAATCGACATTTTTCAATCCTTATGTTCAACTCATTCAACATCATTCTCCCTCTCTGACAGCCCTGGCTTCCATAACTCTACTTACTATAGGCTTTCCTACTACTTCACTGGTTGCTCTTTTTTTCACCCAAACTTTAAACACTAAGCATGGATAGTACTTGGTCTTGCACCCATTTCTTTCATACACTTGAGCTTTTATGGACTTATATCACCTTTATGGCAAGAAATAAGTTAATCTCTAGCTTTGTTAGCTCTTTCATGACCTCCAACTCATTTATCTACTATCTACTGTGTTCAGGATGGAACTTTTGAGTTCAGTCACCTTCTCCACCTCCCAACCTATTTTCCCTCTTAAGCTTCCCATTTCAGTAATTTGGCCCCAAACCTAGGCAGAAATCATCTTTCAGTTTCCTCACCTTCCACATCAAATTCCTGAGGTGGACCAATTCCGCACAAACTTGGTTCAAAAATACATCCCAAATCCACACTTTCCCTCCATCACTACCTTTACTGCCCTTCCAGGTCATGCCAACTCTTAGTTGCTGCTTCTACTCTGGCCTCTCTGCAAATTCATTGCCCCACACTCAAAGTATTCAGATGCCATTCCCATTGTACATAAAACCCTACTCCTTACCAGCTCTTCTTCCCATTGAATCCATGCTACAGATATATAAATTTTTCAATACATTTAATTCCCCAAACCACCCATTTTCTGTTTCAGGACCTTTGCCCATACTATCCCCCCAGAAAGCTTTTCTCTTCTTTTTGCAGAACTAGCTGTTTCTCTTCTGTAAACTCTGGAAGATATTCCTTGACTTCCATACCTAAAGCAGATTCTCCTTTCATGTCTTCTACTACACACACACACACACTGTCCCACACAAATACAAATTTTAAAAAATTCACTCTTTTTATCATGTATGCTCCATGAGAATAAGAACTGTGTCTCAACCACTAGCATATCTACCTTGGGGCTTGGTATATGCCAGGTGCTCAGTAAATCCAGAAATGTATCTACCTAAAGAAACTAGCTGTATGTAGGAAATGCAAGCTTCCTGGCAGGCCAGTACAAGAGGTCTGATATGAGTGAATAAAAGGCTACACTGTAACTAACTATATGGATTCACTCAATATTTACCAGTGGCCCACTACATATCAGGCATTGTGATTCAAGTTAGTATAATGGTAGACAATGTAAGCACTAACAATCACATAGTAAATCCAAGACCAGGAGACAGAGTATAATGAAAGCATAGGCAAGTACCCAAACTAGCAGAGAATCTAACATGTTATGGTCTTATCTATACTACAGTAAGGCAGAAGTCCTCCAGAAAGAGGGACTAACAAAAACCCCAAAGCTAGGTGTGGGGTGCTCAGATTCAAAGGATGACAGATATTTAAGGCGAATTAAGAGTTAAGCTGGAGTAGGATAGATATGAGACAATGTTTAAGAGGTAGGTAGGACAGCTCTTAGATGTAATTCATTAAGTTTTCAAAACAAAACAAAAAAACCCCATTTTTCCCACATTGTATATTCTTTCTCCCTGTCCTTACTTTCTTTCAAATACTGCTTTTTTTATGTAACCCTGGGCTATACTTAGGTGCCTACCCAAGTACTGAAAAGGTAATCTGGCCATCCCAGTAATCTCCCTCTCTAATATAATTAAACTCTCTTGACTTACTTAGGTCATTTCTAACTAAATATTTTATTAGTGTCCTGAAATTAAAGCAGTAAACTGATACCTATCTTATAAATATCAAAAAGATAGAGCCTGATATTACCTAAAATTCTCATGCGAAACCAGAATTCTCACAATTCTTTCACATTACTCCCCACCATTACCCAATCTATGAATCACAGCAAAGGATAAAAAACAGGTAGCAAGAGGACAAGTCCTTCCCCCTACTTCCTTTCCTGTTTTACTCTTAAAAGAAACAAAAAATAAACAAAAAAAAAAAAACCCCCCAAAACAAAGAAAACCCTAACATATCTGGACTAATGCTCTACTGCATATCTTCCTCTCCCCCAATCACAGCCACAAATGCATATTTCTTTTAATTCCCTTAATAAAAGTCCTTGTGTAGTCCCCTGCTTTTCTCATTGTGTCCTCACTTTCAATGTTGGCTCAATTAAAATTAAAAATTAAAAAAAAGCGATTACCCTAGTCAACTTTGAGGACCAAGGAACAGAAACCACTCAAATTAGTTTAAAGGGGAATTTATTAGAATACACAGGTTCTTGCAGGTGATCTAACAGCTGTAATGGTGAATAGATAGAATCACATCTTTCTGAAGGACAGATATGTTGTAATCAAACTTCTACTTCTTTCTGGGTTTTGCGAGATCACGAAGAAAATATCTTAGAGGATGTTTCCCCCTTGACGATGCACAAGGGACTAGAATGTGGATTCACTTCTGCTTGCTTTTTGGTCCTTATATTCCTTTACGCTGGCCTCAAACTTGTCAAGCACATGTTGGCAGACATTCATGAGCTCATTCAGGCCCCTCTGAAATGGCTCAACAGCTGGGAGAGCTCCTCGAGTCTGAATGCGTAAATTAATTTTACTCTCTGAAGGATGGGTTGTAGTGTAACCACAAAATTCCACTTCTGGGTTCTTCATGATCATGTAACGAAGAGAATTTCCTAGAGTATGATCCTCCTCGTGCAAAACAAATGTCACACAGTGTCTATCTGTTCCAGCTGCCTGGACCATTTCCAGGGCTGTCTTCCTCTCGCCTTCAGCCATTGAGGTCTTCAATCCAGACATTTTTCTACACACATATTTTTTATAAAAATGAGATTACACTGAATATTTTGTAACCAGCTTTTTTTCATTTACTTTATCACAACTGCAACATATTAATACTCTAATGCACTCCAGTTACACGGAACTATTAGCATTAGCCCCTTATTCTCCTCCCTCCACGTAGTCTATCAATAAACACCTAACTTACTGCTTCCACTTTCTCCCTATTCCATCTGACCATCCACATGGCCACATAGGAGTCCCTTTTAAAACACAATCTTAAATGTTTGCTAAAATATTCTTTTGATAGAATCACAAGAAAGGATAGGATAAGAATAGGGTTGCCTCGCTAAAGGATGAAAAGGGAGTTGGAAGGCATAGAGAAACAAATTATTTTAAGATTGGAGACTACAGATAATCAACGTGCAGGCCCATTTGGAGGAGGTAACGAAACTAGAGTTTGATCGAGAAAAGTCTATCAAGCAGGAGAGAGAAAAGAGAACTCAGAGAAAAGGGAGACATGGGCCACAGTCACCAGGGCCTTAAGCCTGACTGAACACACAAATACTATCATTTGGGGACAGTGGCCTGGTGCGTGGGTTTACACGTTAGCTTGACTTACTCTTGCTGTTCTAATTAGGAATTGGCAGTTTGGGGGTTTCTCACACTTGTGCTCTTCCCTCAGGTATCCAGTGTTCAGAGCGTCTCTGCTCAAACACATCCCTTTCTCCTCCTTTCTTTTCCCAAGCGGAGGCCCATCTCCCGCCCAGACGCCCATTTCTCTCTTGTCCCTGCTCTCCTAGTCAGGCCGGGACGCGGCAGAGGCTGAGGCCCCGGCCTGCCGCGGACCCCTCCTCGGCCGCTAGCTCCGGTGCAGGGCGCGGCCCGCTCCTCCCGCCCGACTCCTCGGACGTTACCTCTCCAACTCCTGGTCCTCTTCCATCGCGGGTGCAGCTTCCGGAATCCTCAGGTAGTGCGGGCGGGCGGGATACTCTGCCCCATACCGCGAAACAGGGGAGCCAAAAAGGAAGGAAGGAGCCAGCGACGGAAGGAGCGGAGGACGGAAGGAGGGAGGAGGAGCCGCTGCGGCGCCACAAGGCCCACCCACCGGGCGGGACCCTAGGGCTCCGCCCACAGACCCCGCCTTGGGCGTGAGGAGGGCGGTGGCTAGGCCGGAGCTCCTCACTCGGCGTTTCTGGAGTAGGTCCGCCTGCAGAGCTAGCGGAGACAGGTGGGGTTGGGCTCCCGCCCTCGCTCCGAGGCAGAGACGAACTTGTGGGTGCCTGGGCTCAGCCCTGGGCACCTTACTCCAGGTGTAGGCGAACGGGGTGGGGCCTACCTGACTTTCCCAAATCACCTTCTTTCGTAGTGCCCAAATCCGACTCCTTTTTGACTTGTTGCTAGACCTGCAGGGGAAGGTGTTACTCCCACGCAGGACCCCAACCTTTGGGAGGCTTCCATGGGACGAAAGGCTTAATCTATAGTCGATAAATACACCTTGATGAATTTCACAATAGAACAGAATGGGTTTAAGACGACATTTGTACATCACAGCTGGGTCGACGGAGAAGCTTGATCTTTTGTCTTGATTTTTGGGGGGAAGTGTAAAGAGTTTGGAAGGAAACTTTTCCTTCCCATCCTTTTTCTCCTAGGATCTTATCTACGCCTGGAGTACACACTTCCTCTCTTTGGACTTCCTTTTCCCTTTACCCTTTTGGCTTCTTCAACCTCCTCACCTGCGGAACCTCCCTCTCACCTTTGTTCTCAGGTGCCCTGCCCCGCTTCAGCAACCTTCCCACACAGACTCGCTCTCCGTCCCCTTCTTCCGGGGTACCTCTACTCTCTCCGTCCTGTCAGGTATTCTTCGCTAATAGTCTTCCCTTCTTCGCTCTCCTGCTACCCTCGCGTTCCTCCTCCTGGCCAACCCCTGTCCCTACGACACTATCCCAGCTGTCCTGTAGCCCAGCACACCTACATTTCTGCTTTCCCGTGCCACCTGTTCTTCCCTGAGTCCCCTAGATATTCACTGCCCCCCGCACTGTTCCACGCTCCTCGCGGCCGAAGACCGGGAGCACAGAGACAATTCTTGAGCTCGTCTTCTGCGAGGTAAGCCGAAGAACCCTGCGGCAAGCGGGTGGGGGAGGGCAGGCGGCGCGGGGCGTAGTGTGCTCACTCTAACCCGGGAGTGACGGCCCTAGCCTGACCCGCCTCCTGAGTCCTTGGATAGGTGGATCCGCTCTCTGTCCCGCCCCATTCCCCAGCGCAATTCTGCCACCGATTGGCCCAGGTGCGTGTCGGGTTGGGCGGCTGAGCCCTGGCGCTTGCCCCCGGGAAGACAGCAGGGGCGGTTGAGAAGTGAAGTCTTGGCCAGACTTTGCTTCTTGCCAGGAAATCGGCGAAGGCGGCGGCGGCGGCGGACGCGGCGCCAGCTGTCTCCGTTCCCGGTCGAGTGGAGGCCGCCTCGCTCCCGGCTCTCTCAGCGGGCCAGGGAGAGCGGAGCTGGCTCTGGGCTGCGGCGTTGGGAGCCGGTGCGCGCCCTCGGACAGCCGCGCTATCCCAGTGAGTAACTTTGGCCCGCCTAGCTCCGCGCCCCTGGGTCCCCGGCAGCCGCCTCAGGTGCGGGCGTAGGTGGGGTGTGGGGCAGCGCTGCGCCCGGGAGGCGGCCGAAGCGGCGCCGCAGCAGTCCTCCGTGCCTATCCTGCCCGCTGGCCCCGGCTGCGGGGGTACGCGGACCCGGTGTGGGCTGGCTGCGCTTGTCCGGGGATGGAAGGGACCGGCTGCCCTGCTCCCAGTGTCCGCCGCCCCCAGGCGTCGGGGAGAGGCGGGTGGCCCCCAACTGGTTACCATTTGATTCTGGCGACTGTGTTGCTGATCTTTGCATCGTTTTCTTTTTTAGGGAGGGGAGGGGTGGGAATGAGTTCTTGTTTCCTGCGTGTATCTTGTGATGAGTGAGAGTGGTACTAGCTGCCTTACATCGGGTTTTGTTCCACCTGGAAAGGAATGGGGAGAGACCATACCCTCCATCCCAGCCTGTTGCCTATAAATCTCACCTTACCCTTTAGACTAGAGAGGGTGGGAGAGAGATTTAACATCTTCGACGGGGGTTAAGGGGGATATCAAAATATGGACCTTGATTTGGAAGCAGCTGCAAACAAAGCACCCGTTCAGGAAATACATCGCTCGCTTTCCAAAGCTTTATACCATGTTTTAGGCGAAGGACTTTTGACATATATATGTATTTATATATGTCTGGTATTTAAGTTTATATCTAAGGCCATGAATCAAGACATCTGTATCGGCCAGAAGCTACTGTACACTCATGCATGGGCTGGGCTTAACTGTACAGATGTTTCTGTTTAAATCACAGAAACCAGAAACGAAGTTGAGTGAAAAGCAATGGTGAGCCCTGGTGTATGGGAACTACTTGCACTTTAAGAATTTCCCATTCTTGCAGCAGTAGTGCTTGTAAATTGGCCTTGGTCCCAAGACAGATTTTTTTTTCTTTTTTTTTTTTGACATGTACCGTGATACAGCACCAATGAAGTTGGACCTCAGTTTAATTTTATTTACTTTGATAGATTTGGTTCACATCCCCCTACCCCTTTTGAAAATGGACTTTGATCTAGTATCCTTTTTGGCCTGTCAAAGCTTTGTTAAGCAATGAATAACAAAGTTTTGCCTTTTTAGTTTGTCCAAGTCACACATGTGAGTTTTCCCCTAGGATTAAAATGTAGGCCAAATCAGAACCAAAGTAGAATAACACTTCTTTTAATTTGGCCCACTTGTGCGTTAACATTCCTAATTCTGTATCTTGTTTCTCTCCTTTCCTCATCAAGTTAGGTATTTTTCATTATTTATTCATTCAGCAAATGGTAGAGTGCCTACTGCATGCCAGACATTGATAGCAGGAGTCAGCTTTTGCCCTAAGTTGTTATAGTCTCATTTGGAAGTTGATCCATACTTCTATTCCACTGGCTGGCTGAAAGTAATTTGAGCCAAGTACTGCCGGAACTTAACAGAGGGAGCATTTCTGCCTGGAGTTTGTTAGGGAAGGCCTCACATAGGCACTGACTCTTCAGTTTGGTGTGGGATTTTGCCAGGTGCATTCAGAGCGGAGGGACTAACATGTAGGGCGTTGCACTGAGATCTGCATATATTTACTCTGGCTAAAGCACATGGTGTCTGGGGTTGGAATAGTTGTTGGGGGCTGGTGTATCACTCATTTCACAGTACTTAGCACTTTATCTTGCTTACAGTAGACACTTAAATGTTTATTGAGCTAACTTGAACAGAAACATGAAGGCTTTTGTCTGCCAAATTAAGAAAATTGGACTTTATTTTAATCAGAAGAATGTCATGATGACCTTTGTATTCCAGAAAGATATCTACAACAGTCTGGAGGGTGCTGGCTTCCAGGTGGGAGGCAGAGAGACTGAAGTAGGAGCTGTTATACTGTAGGTGGTGAGTGCTCAGGGATTTCCAGTGCACAATGTCTGGGTGTGAACCTGGCCCTGTCACTCCCTGTGCAACCTCTCTTTTCCTTACATTCTTCATTTCATAGAGTTTGGGGGATGAAACTTGGAAAAACACGTATACATAGAGTAATGTTTGGCATATCGTAAGGTCTTGGTAGATGCAAGTTGTTATTCTCTGTGAAGGCAGTAAAAGTACAAAAGATGTGGCATTCAGGAGGTATAATTGATTGGACTAGGTAAGTAACGTGGTATTACTGGAGGCATTAGAGTGTACCGATTAAGCTTTCTGTGGAATCAGAACAAGGGTTAAATTCTATCACTTACCCTTAGAATTAGTATCCTGACAGAGATTTAGTTTCCTAATGTTTAGGAAGTGAACATAGGACCCGTCTGGTAGGGTTTGAGTATCAAGTGAAATTATGCATGTCATGCTTTTGGCAGAGTACCTAGCACATTACAAGTGCTCAATAAATATTAGTTGTTCCTTTAGTGATGACATTAATGAGCTAATGGAATGTTAGGAGATATGAAAAGGAGTAGTTAAAAACAGTTGATGGTAGAAGCGGGGAAAGGAAGATAAATTAGTTGGACCAACCCAGTGACATGCTGATGGATGGTTGAGATGTCTGTGATGAAGTTGCTGGATAGATGTGTGCAACAGGAGCTAGGAAAGAATGGAAAGAAAAAAAAAAAGTTCACCTAAAGCCTTTGTGGGTGTGGTAAACTTTATGAAGATTTGGGGTAAGGATAGAGGCAAGGTTTATGCTATAGCAGTTCCAGGAGTGTTGGTGTTGAATATTAGGCATCTCTATCTTTAAAATGCACTTTTGGCACCATCACAGGGAACTCCAGGCACATATAATCTAGTTGGTTCTGTGCCTTTCCCTCTCTCTTCCTTCTCTCCTTTCTGATCGCCACCCCCTAAATCCAGATCTTTTTTATTTTATTATGCAGAGCCACTTATGGTAACTTTTTGCTGCTTAAGGGGTGAAAGTTCACTCTAGCCCCACCTTTCTATGTCAGCATCCAGCAAGATTTCTGGAAGAATCAAGTCTCATTTCATAGGTTCCACTCTACTTAAGCAGTGTTGTTTGAAAAAAAAAGTGCGTATGTATTAAGATACATGTGTGTATATATATGTTTGCATGTACAACTATATATGTATATATTGGAGTCGTAGGGAAGAACAGACTTGTATAGGGACAATGCTTCCTGCAGAGTGGAACTGACAGTAGCTGTGTCATAACTGTCTTCTCTTGGGTTTAGCAAAACTCGAGTAGATTCTCTGAAGCCTTGATAAGAAGAGCTGAAAACAGAGGAGCAGAAGTATTGTGGGCAGAGAGGTTTAAGCATACTTCATACTTTAATCTTTCCAAGCTTAAGGTTTGGGACTATTACTCCTGACAATCAGAATCCCTCAGTAGAGAAATTATGTGGTAGAAAAATGATTTTTTTTTCTCAAAATTGAACTGCGTAAGAGATTTGAGAAATAGAAACAAATGTAGAACATAGGTAACAGACAAGTAAAAATATAAATATATGCACTATATATACAACTATAGTATATGTAGTGTACGTATGTGCTTATATATATAAGTATACTGTAAACAGGGATGTCTCCTTAAAAAACATACTACTGTCATATGTTAAACAAATGAAGTTTTAATTTTTTTCTTTATTAAAAACACAATCTTAGAGTTCTTTTAAATAACAAATGGCCCTAAAATATATAGTAGGGGCCACTGTAAAAAATGTTTATAACAAATTTATTAGGACCTATATCTTATGTAAAACAAGGTATGCTTGGCTAAAATAAAGCTTTGAAAGGCCCTGTTGGCCATTGCTTTGTGTATAGGTAAAAGTAAAGTAAGTCTAGGAAATATTGATACCTCCTCCCCCAAAACTGGGACTTGGACACCAATCTGAAAAGTTAATCCTTTATCCGAATTCTTAATACTGTTCAGTTAAACTGCATAATTATTGGACAAATCAGTTGGAGTCCTTTACATAGATCTTACTTAATTCATTATTTTATTGTGACCATTGCCACTTCTTCCACGTGATTTTAATGTTTGAACTTTGACTTTCAATGTAATTATATTAAGGAATACCTAAGAAGCCACGATCTCATCAGCACTGGGCTGTTTGGAACACAAACGATTGTCTCTGCCCTTGTGGAACTTAAAATTTTAAAAGACATTCAGCCAAAGAGTTAAGCATTTGCAGTAGGGTGACTCGTACACTTGACTTTTAGTACCTTAGCTCCTCAACTCCAGTGACTTTCACTTCTACTGTATTTTAACATTCCCTCAAATTTCCACAATAGACATCTTTAATTATATATCCTAATTATATATCCTGTTCTCTGCCCACAGCCCTCATACCCACACTTTCAATTACAGCACCCTTCCGCTTGACAGACATCTTGCCAGTCCTTTATTCCATCCCACGTCCTGTTTCCTGTTGTATTAACATTTAATGACCTTGAGGTCTTCCGTGTCTGCTTTGGAATCCTTTCTTAAGCACTTTCACTGGCACCCTTGCCTCTCTTGAACTTGTTTTGTGCTGTGCCAGCCAGAAGACTTCTCTGGTTAACTCTGCATTCTCCCTGAGTTGCTTGAGTAGCACCATTAAAAGGCTGGCCCCTCAGTGCAGGTAATTCTCTCTCAAACAACCCTTCCTCCATTCTTCTCAGTCAACTAGTGCTCTGGTACTGAGCTAAGAATAATGGAGTATCCTTGTAGAGTTTACAGTCTAGAGGAGATAGACATTCATCAAATATTGGTATAGATTACAATTACAAAATATGGTAAGTGCTTTGAAGAAATAGTATAGGGCTGTGTTGTTCACTACGAGGCACTAGCATATGTGGCTACTGAAATGTGGCTCGTCCCAACTGAGATCTGCCATACATCAAAAATAAACACCAAATTTTGAAGACATTATACCCCCATAGGTAAAATATTCAATAATTTTTATATATGAAATGATAATATATTAGGTTAAATAAAATATTAAAACTCATTCAGTAGTTTTATTTTTAAAATATGGCTACTAGAACATTTAAAATGACATGTGGCTCACATTCTATTTCTGTTGGACAGTGCTGGCCTAGGGTGTTGTCTGGGGAGCAGGGTGTCACTTAAGCTTTCCCTGAGAAGGTTGTCTTTGAACAGATATATCTGACTGAGTAGGCATTGAACAGGCAAACCCTCCTCAGAGAAAGTAGCCAGAGGTAGATGGCACTTCAAGGGAGAGTGAGAAACTGGTAAGAGAGCTAGGAGAGACTGGCCAAGGGTGAGGTCAAGAGGTAGACAGGGCCAGCTCATAATGCGCCTTCTTGACTCTAATAAGGATGTTCTTTATCATTCATGTATTACTCCAAACCTTCATTATTTACAGACCCTTTATTCAACCCCCACTTCTCCATTCTGCAGAGTAGTCTGCTTACTTCATGATGATCGGGTTTGACGTTTCAAATTTCTGCCGCTCCCCTCCTTACCTTTATCCATCTCAGATCTGTTGAAGGCTAACTTTTCCACGTGTGCCCTTGATCTGATCCTTCAAAGTCTCCTTCAGGAAAGGCTTTATTAATTAATTCCCTTCTGTATTTAATCTCTTTCTCCCTGATGGCTTTTTCAGACCAGCCTATAAATACGCTCCAGTCTTAAACCTTATACAACAAAGCTCCATTGACCCAACATTCCCTTCAAGTTACTGTGCTTGAAGCATAACAAAATATTTTATTTAAAGCAATGTATTGAAAATGTATTAATGTATAGTGAATATAAAATTATTAATAAGATATTTGACTTTTTTATATCTCAATGCAGATGCTAAATTTTCAGTGGTTAAAGTAAAAGGAATCTTATCAAAATAATTTAACAGAAAACTATTTTACACACTTCAGGTTGTTTTTTTTTGTGGCGGTGGTGGTGGTAAAGAACATGTAACAGAATGTACCATCTTAACCATTTTTAAGTGTATAGTTCAGTAGTGTTAAGTATATTCACATTGTTGTGCAACAAATCACAAATATTTCATTTTGCAAAACTCTGTATACATTAAACAACAACTCCCCATTTTCCCCTCTACTTAACTCTGGTAATCGCCATTCCATTTTCTGTTTCTCTGGTTTTGATTACTTTAGATTTATAAGTGAAATCGTACAGTATTTGTTTCTTTTATGCCTGGCTTATTTCATTTAGTATGATGGTCTCAAGGTTTATCCATGTTGTAGCATGTGACAGGATTTTTTTCCTTTATAAGGCTGAATAATATTCTGTTGTACTTATACATTGGAATACACATTTTGTTTATCCATTTATCTCTTCATGAACATTTGGGCTGCTTTCACCTCATGGCTATTGTGAATAGCGCTGCTGTAAACAGCGCTACATGGGTATGGAAATTTCTTTGAGACCCTGCTTTAAGTCCTTTCCATTATATATCAGGAAGTGGGATTGCTGGATCATGTGATAGTTCTTTTTTTAATTTCTTGAGAACCTCTCTATTGTTCATAGCAGCTACACTATTTTACAGTCTCACTAACAGTGCATAAGGGTTCCAATTTCTTTACATTCTTATGAAACCTTATAATTTTCTATGTTTTTCTTTACAGTAGTCATCTTAATAGGTATGAGGCGATATCTCATTTAATTTGCATATGGATTTATCTGATGATTAATGATGTTGAGCATCTTCTCATTATGCTTGTGGGTCATTTGTCTATCATCTTTGGAGAATGTCTAAGTTGTTGGCCTATTTTGAAATTGGGTTATTTGATTTTTGCTATTGATTTGTAGGAGTTCTTTATATATTCTGGATATGAACCCTTTATCAGATATATTACTTACAAATATTTTTTCCCATTCTGTACATTGCCTTTACACTTTGTTGATTGTGTCCTTTGATGTGAAGTTTTTAAGTTCGATATTGTCCCATTGTCTATTTTTGCTTTTGTTACTTGTGCTTTTGTTGTCATATCTTGGCTACATCCAATGTCATAAAGCTTTCCCCCATCTTTTCTTCTAGGAGTTTAGTAGTTTCAGGTCTTATGTTGAGGTCTTTAATGTATTTTGGGTCAGTTTTTTAATATGGTGTAAAGTAAGAATACAAACAAAATGTATGTTTTTAAAGGTTTTTTTTATTCTCATTCATGAGAGAGGGGAATGGAGACAGAGGAAGAAACATTGATGTGAGAGAGAAACAACGTTCAGTTGCTTCCTGCATGCACCCCGACCAGGGATCCATCCTGCAACTTAGGCATGTGCCTTGACTGGGAATCGAACTGGCAGCCTTCAGGTCTATGGGACAACACTCCAACCAAGTGAGCTGAACCAGCCAGGGCCAAACAAAATATTTTGAACGTACTTCTGAGACCTTGCTTGTAGAAACGAGAGAAAGATCTCAAATATGTAGAATAGTTTTAATTTGGAGGGATTGAGGGTAGTGATTAGGCTAGGAAACAGTTCTCAAATGGTGCTAAATAGTATATTCTAGTGTAAATTTCTCTGTCCTTTTTGTTTCTTGTAGTTGTGAGACACCAATATGGGAGCAGTCAATAGTCTAGGGCCAGCTGAAGCTAAAAAGTAAAATGATTGGGAAGAGGCCAGGTATGTGATGTGCATGTGATTGCACCCTCTGCCTCTGTTACTAAGTATGTAATGCATGTGGTCAATGGTTGCTGGGCATCCCTTTTAAGACCATTCTGCCAGGGCCATTTAATAAGATTTCCAAAGTATCCATAGCAATTAGAACTCATATGAAATATTTATTAACCTCATTAATTTCTCTTATTTTAGGCTTTATGCTTTCATTATAGATGAGATATATTAATTGATTTTTCAGTAGACTATTTTCAGAGTTTGTTAAAAATAGATACAATTCTTCTGGCTCTCTGACCTATTCTTTTTCCAGGTATATAGATGACATTTGTCAGCACATTTGAAGTTTTCTACCTTTGACGATATATAATCAATAACATTGAGACACTTTTCAGGATTTATTCTTTGAGTCTGAATTGTTTTTATTGTAGCTCTTTACAGAAAGGGCTAAAAAGATTTTTTTAATGAGTCCATTTTGCAGGATAGAGATGATAGTCTGTGTATTCTTAAACATCAAGTTGACTCAAATCAACTTTCAACTGATGTATATTGTATTAACACTTTTTCTTATTTAAAGGTTTACATGTCAAAGTTGCTCAGGATGATTTTAGTCTAAATGTGACAATGTGACTGAATTTTCCTTATTCATAGGTTTGCCAGAGGCAGTAAATCAAACCTGGTACTGGAAAAAAGCAAAATGGACCGTTGAAAGTAGTTCTTCAAATGTTTATTTATAATACAGCATTCTTTATGTCTTTGTAAAGAATTATTCTTTTCTGGTTACTTGAATCTTTTGAAAGGAACATTGTTCTGTTACTAAAAAACAAAGAATTATTCTCTGTACTAGGATTTATGGAAGAATATCTTTCTGGAAAACAAAGTTAATGTTCTTAAAATCATTAAATCTCTAGTTTAAAGAATATTTTTCTGTTTGATAAATCCTGGGACGCAAATAACACAGCTATTTGATTTTCTTTATTGCATACATTACCAAGTGCATGAGGACATTAAGGCTACATATGGTTTTTTTTAATAATACTGTTTTTTATAATTTATGAAAGTAATACATGCTAAACCATAGAAAATTTAGGAAATCCTAAACTATGCAAAGAAAATAAAATTACATATAATTCCATCAATTTTAAATATTTTAAAATAATTCATTTATTCATCAAATATTTGACTGCTCTGTACTGTATATCATTCTAGATATTTGGGATATGAAAGTGACTTATAGAAATTCTTGTTGTCAGATTGAGACTAGTCAAATTCCAGTTTCATCACAATTGCTATATTTCAATATAAACAGGATATTTAAATGATAGAACTTAAGCAGAGAGAGTCTGGTGGCAAGGCAAAAGCTTTTATTACTATAAATTATAGGTAAAGAATAGTCTCAAGTAAAAAATATCAGCACTTTTGTGATGGTACACGTCCTAAAATAGATAAGTGCATAATTATGTATATTTTTTTCCCACTGGAAGTTTATTGAGTTTGTTGAGTTTACACCTGTCAGTATCCCCAAAATACTTACTCTTCATATGTTCTGAATTAAGAAAAATAAAACCCTATCAGGTGTTAGGAGAGGGACCAAGGGAAAATAATTTTATCAATCATTATGTACTTTGTAGGGTTTTTTGAAGTTTTTCACATCTTTAAAAAAAAATAAATCTATGTCAACATATAAAGAATTCCTGATTTTTAGCTTAGCTGATTCACCAGGCTTTACTATTGATGTATAAAACTTGTGCCCTGCTTTCTCTAGTACCTAAGAATTTAGAGTGTGACCTGTGACCCATGACTCATCAGTTGACATAGTGGTACATTTTTAGAAACAAAGAATGTGATAGCAGATTTCTCTTACACAGCAGTAGTGTAAGCAAATATAAGAAAACATAAATTTGTCTGTTTCTCTTCTGATGTTATTACAGCTGTATGTTAAATTCTTAGAAATGTGTACAACACTGGACATTCCAATGCATTTGAATAGAATAGGTATAAACTGTGTATTTCCTGCAAAAAGATAGAAATTGTGCAGCATTTCTCCCATTTTTTATGGCATGAAGTTACTTTGTAGATAAATATAATATTTAGGCTTGTGATTTACTTATTTAGTTTTGAAACAAAGATGAAGCAATGAAGAAAAGCATTGTTTTGGGCATACTACTTCATTTTTAGTGCTCCATGAAATTGTTTTTATTTTTGATGTGGACTTCTTGTTTGTTTGCTTTGCTTTCTAAATACTTAAATAGGAATCAAGCTTGGCTGCTTTCTACTTCCTACTTTATTTCCTTTTGTCTATGATCCCGTCACGGTATAATCTCATACACATACAAGTCATCCTGTGCAAATAGATATTTAATGAAAAACAAGTGTGACCCCCACTCTTTTACCCTAGCTATCCAGTTGCTCTAGAGTCAACTGCTGTTAGTTTTTGTATTTCCTTCTGGGCATATTTTGCGCTTTTGAATTCATGTGTGTATTTATTTAGAGAGGTCTTTTGAAACACTATTCTGTACCTTGACTTAAATTAGCTCAAAATTTATTTAATTTGTTAGTTTTTTTTTAAACTTAACTTAGTCGCCTTTCATTTGTTTGCTGATCTCACTGAATTATATTACCTTAAAAAAATATTTATTTCTTAAAGGACACATGAACATACTTTGCCGAGGTTTTCTCTGCAGGATATGATTATATTACTTGAACATTTTTTAAACCTATAAATCGTAATTCTAATGCGTTCTTTCCAAAGGGAATGCTAAACATAAAAATTAATTTAGTCATCTTTATGATAACTTAAGAGAAAATGGAACATTTACTAGGTTTCTTTGATCTAGCTAGTATAGTACAACTATGGGAGAGTATCTGTTGGGAAATTTTAAATTTTGCTAAAAAGCTTGGTTAGTAGGAAATATGGTACAAATTATGCTGAATTAAAAATTACTTGATTAACAAAATCTCCTTGCTAATTGGAAGTGTCTTGGTGCATTTTATAGTGTTCATCAATTCTGCAGATTGTACCTTTACATTTTGTTTGTACTGGACACTTAGAGTATCTTTCATTTTGAGAAGGTTTGAGTACATACTTCTTATTCTAAAAGGGGGAGGGGGAAAGGCAGTTTTTTCCTTGAATCCAATGAGAATATGATGTTACATTTCGGTGGGGGAAAGGCAAATTGTTTTCAGTAATTTATGAGTATCACCCTAGAGGGATTTAATATTTTCACTGTTATACTACCTTTCTTTTGGTTGTGAAATGTAGATGGCAGAATTCTAGAACTGCCAATATTAATCATTGTGGTAACTACTTGAGTGATTTCTCTGTGGCTTCACTCTGTTAGGAGCTTTAAGTTTCATTCGTCATTGTCTTGTCACGGTAATCCTGTGAGGTCAGTATTTTGCATTTCAGAAATAAACAATTTGGACAAGGTACAGTAGCCACCTATGATTAGAAGTCAGACCTATTTGGTCTAAAAGCCATTACTCTTTACTGAGCGGTTTCTATGAAAAGATAAAGTACTGATAGAGTCAAATTGTTTTCTTCCTCCTTGCTGAAAAGGACTTTAAATGTCATTTTAGTTTAAACCACAGAGTTGACCAACAAAGAAGCAGTTTCCTCAGGTAAAGGCAGTCCTTTTCTAGGATTCATTTTGCCTTTTTCAGTTTTGTCTTTTTTTGAAAATAGTGTTGGTTATTTCATTACTTCTCAGTGCTCTGCACAGGTTCTCAAAGTGTGTCGCAGGACCCCCTATTCTCTTCCATTGGGTTCGCAAGGTCAAAACTTTTCCCAAGGCCAAGTTGTCTGCCTTTTTCACTCTCATTCTCATGAATATCCAGTAGAGTGTTTTAGAGGATACCTGACATGTGACCTCACAACAGATTGAAAATAAAAACTGATTTAAGACTTCAGACTTGCAAAAATGTAAAACAATGGTTCTCTTCTAACTATATGGTGAAAAAAGTTATTTTTCATAAAAATGTAAACATGAGTTTAGTTTAATTAACAAATGAATATGTAAACATTTAATTACTTGCATCATCATTTCAAGAATGTTATATAAATGGAACAATACAGCATGCAACCTTTTAGAACTAGCTTTTTCACTCAGCATAATTTTCTGGAGATTCATTCATGCAGGTTTTTACTGGTATCCATAGTTCATTCCTTTTTATTGCTGAGTAGTATTTCATGGTATGGATGTACCGTAATTTTTTTAAACATCACCTGTTGAAGGACATCTGGGTTGTTTCTAGTTTTTGGCAAATACAGCTGTACATACAGGTTTTTGTGTGAACATAAATTTTCATTACTCTGGAGTAAATACTCAGGAGTTTTTTGCTGAAGTGTGTTGTAGTTGCATGTTAGTTTTTTTTAAGAAACTGCCAAGCTTGCCCTGTCTGGTGTGGCTCTCTTGGTTGGAGTGTTGTCCTGTAACCTTCAAAGATTGTAAGTTCAATTCCCAGTCAGGGCACACGCCTACATTGCCGGTTCCATTCTGGGCCTGGGTACATATGGGAGACAACTCTCTCGGGGCTTCTCTCTCTCACATTGATGTTTCTCTCTCATCCTTCTCTCTCTAGAAGCAATGAAAAAATGTCCTTGGGTAAGGATCGAAAAAAAAGAAAGAAAGAAAGAAAGAAAGAAAAGAAAAAAAAGAGAGAAACTGCTGACCTTGTCCAGAGTGAGTTAAGGAATCCTTAGGTTTAAAAGTTTGGCACCCACTGCTTTATGCAAAGGCAGCTATCAAAGCTGATATGAACATAATATGATAACATTTTCTTGTGTTGGTATCATCAAGTATTTTTTCTCAGACATTTGAAGATTAAAGGGAGTGGTAGGTTATTCTTTGTAATCATAGGGGTGGGGTCCAATATGTTGACTGCTTTGCAGTACCACAAATAAATTTCTACAGGGTGGGCAAAAGTAGGTTTACAGTTGTCCGTACGGAAAATAATACAATATTAATAAATAATAACACAAGAATAAACTGTGTTTCATGTACTCAGAACTGTAAACTTACTTTTGCGTCACCTTGTATAGTTATACATTTCAGAACTCATCTACATTTTAGGCTCAAGTATGTGCCTGAAAACAAATTTTTTTTAGTGCATAATATGTGCCAAGAACTGGGAACAGAAGGAATAAAATAGACACTGTTTTCTTTACCCTCAAGGAGGTGAGAAGATGGTAAGGAAGTATGCAAATGTAGTGGTTGCTGAAAGGCAGTTTTGTGAAAAGAGCAGCAGGAGACTACAGTGTTAAGGGAGGTGGACTGACCAAGAGTACAAGGAGGCAGATCGGGTTGAACAGAGCAGGTAGAGACTGGCCTAAGACTTAAGGAGTGAACAGGAGTTTATCAGGAGGAGCACCAGAAGACAGGGTTATCGTAGACTCTTGGCACTGAGGAATCAAAGGATGTTTCCTATCTAACCATAGTGTGTTAGTAAGTAATACTTGTCTCATCGTTTTAATCCTGGGCTGGATCTCTCAAGTTAGGGTCAATGAGGACTCTTTCACTCTGGATCAAAAATAACATCAAGAGAAATGATCTGAATGATATTTAATTTTGGAGTGGGCAAATTAACGGTGAAAACCCTACTTCTTTTTGAGAGTATTTACGATGTAACCAGATATCCTTATACCATAATCCAGGAAGAGCAAACATGTTAATCATAACTGGAATTAGGTAGTAAACCATGTTTTATAACTCGCTTTCATTGCACTGGCTATATTTCAAGATATTATTTAAAATGTGTTATAATATTCCCAGCCAATTTAATAGTTTCTATGTCTTTACTATTCCTGGAATATTAACTAAATAGATAATGTAGTTTGTAAAGATACACACTATGGTACATATTGAAAAATATTTAATGGCTATTATTGTCTTTTAATATTTCTAATTGTACTCATAGAATACCTGAAATCAAAATTATGTAAACACGGGCGTATCCTTCAATTTACACAGTTGTAATTCTGGTCACTTGAACTGACCAAGAGTGAGCAAGCATATTGTCACCCACTTGGTTATTCATCATTCATTGAGCTTCTCCCTTATGGCATGATAGGTCTTAAAGAGGGACTAAAGTGGGGACTACCGTGTGAGACGTAGTGTAGGGCATTATAGGGGACTTGCACACGAGGTGGAAATAAAACCATCTGCCTGTATTGGGAATAGAGGGTGGGACTGGGAGTTGGAAAGCCAGGGTCAAGCCACTTTTGTCCTTAACAATCTCACACTGAGGTGTTCAGGAACTACCTTACCTCATTCCTATAATTATCTAATTTACTATTGGGTTATTTTGAAGCAAGAAAGGACTGGATTTATCTTTCATTTTCTTTTACTAAGTAATTTTGTGTTGTATGGCTTGGGGCAAACCAAAATCTGTCTGGACTCTTTAATAATAATAATAATAATAATAGCTGACACTTCTATAGCATCTATTATGTGTCAGGCACACACATGTATATTTATTATTACTCCCATTTCACAGATGAAAAGATAACATTTAGTAAGGTCACAAAGCTAGTCATTGACAGAGGGAGGATTTGAATCCTCACAGAGTGCCTCAGCCACCAGAGTGTACTCTTAATTGCTTATGCTATATGGCCTTGCAGGTCTTCAGTCAATATTCATATGCATATGTTAGTGATCTACCCATGGTAATTTTTAATTTAATGTTTGTTTTGAGGTAATAGAGGTATTTCAGGTTGGAGATCATGCAGCTGTTATTTGGTATTTTAAATGGGAACATGCATGTTCTTTATCCTCTTGAAAAGATTTTGTCAGAAAATGAAAATAATCAAAGAACTAAGTTATTTAGAGATTTCGAAAATAGCTAAAACATAATAGTCTGAAGAGAAATGCTTTCTTAGTCATTACGTGGGAGGCTAGAATTGCAGTACATTTTCTTGAGGATAGGAAAATTTAGAATAACCACTGTCACAAACAAATAAGACCAAAGGACATGTGAATTTTTTTTGCTAATTGAGTAGAAAACAAGTCTGTAAACATTCTGTGTTAAACACCTGTGTTGAAGCAGCAGTCTGCCTGAGATAAATAATCTCTCTCCTTAATTTCATATAACTTCCACTGACGTTTAAAAAGTTAATGATGCTCAGAGGGTAAAGAAGCCCCATGAGTTAAAAAAAACAGAGTGTCTGCTCTGTTAATGTTGGCGCTGGTAGGAGTCTCGATCATAGGCTGCTCTTATTGTCATTATATTAAGTAGTTTTTAAAAACACACAATTAATCTGAAATCAGTCATCCCATCTCAATCTTGGCTTACCGTGTCATAATTTATCACAGTTCTTGTTAAATCTGTTAAGTTGTTAATGCTGTTTTTCAATAAATATGCCAAATAAATAAAATAACTAATGCATATATGTGATTGGAGGAGAATTTTATTATTAAAACAAATATTAGTGGTGTTAACATGGTGATCTAGTCTTTTTGTTTTGAATCAGAAACACTGAGTCTTTTTAATTACTCTGCTGCAAGTACATTTTCTTTGCCTCAGAGGTCTTGATCTGCTCCATATTCCCTGAATGTATGGTCACTCTCAAGCTCCTGTGACTTAGCATTGAGATGCCCTTGTCCATTTTTCTCTCAGGTTAATGCTTCCTGTCACAACTCAGCAGGCCACATTTTCCCCCCTTTTGAAAGTATTTCCAGCCACAAAGCCAAACTTAGATGCCAGTTCTCCTCCCCTTTCTCTGAATCCCCATATCATCCTGTGCATAACTTTTTCAGTGTTCTTTTTACTGTATTTTGCTGTGTATGATGCATAGTTTTTGCCCAAATTTTTGAGGGAAAAATAAGGATGCACATTATATGTGGGTAGCAGCAATTCGGTATCTGTATGAATGTTTTTAATTCTTTTTATTTGTTTTTATTTATGCTTATGTGTTAAAAGTGTAACTCTAGAAAGCCATAATAATACCCAATAATACCCATATGCAAAATAATGGCCTGGAGTACAATAATCAGTTTTGTTTCAAATATAAATAAATAAAAAATTGAATTAAACATTAAAATGAACGATTTTTTTCCTGAAACTTTGGGCCAAAAACATAGGCGCGCATTATACACAGCAAAATACAGTACATTGCATTTTAATAATGGGTTTGCTTAACCATCTTCTCCCTACTTCTCCACCCTTGTTCAATGTTCAGCACATACTAGACACTGTAAATATTTATAAAAGAATGAATAGAGACAGTTGCTCCCTTTAGAGTTGACCTTTTAACCCCTGGTGCTGGAGCAGCAGGAATCTGGAATCCCTTTATGTGAGGGGGAGCATTCCTAGTGAGACCTGCATTAAACTGGGGTAGGCTGTTTAAGAGCCTTGGGTTGGAGAGGGGACACACATGCGTGTGCATTTGCACACACATACACAAACACACAACACATTGCTGCTCTGAGTAAGCCAGAACGAATGGAAATGTGGAATAATATGAGGTGGAAATGAAGTTTATAGCACATCTTATCTGTTGAATTACAGGTTTTTTCTTTTAATGCTATTAAAATAGTATTATATTTTATGAAGTTTGCATAGATGTTGTTTTTATATATTATGCAGATTTATCTTTCTATAATCTGTCTTATATAGAGAGAGAATATTAAAATCATACATATTTTGAAATCCATGTACCCCCAAACATAGTGCAGAGCAGAGGTCAGTTTTTTAACATACACTGAATTACCCTTGAGACTACATTTCAAAGGTACAATCTTTGGTTTAGTCTTATAAATGCATAAAATCAGCCAGAAGCCAAGAACCATGACTGGGATTGCCAAGGCAAAATGTATTAGAGACTATATACCTCAAATTACATTATTTGCATACTACGTATATTAATTGGCTTTAAAACAGTTATTGAACAGTGATGTATTTGGGGATTTCAGTTAGTAAAACAAATTGTTTCTTATGTTACAATATGGCATTTTTGCTTTTGATCACAATTTTGTTTTCATTGAGAACTTGACAGTGTAAGTTATTCTTAGCCAATTAGCAAATTAATTTCATTTTTACATTTTATGACTAATTTATTACGTGTTCTAAATTTTATTGTGATTTATTTTTTAATATTTTAATTTTTGAAAAACTATTTTATAATTTTTTCAATTACAGTTAATATTACTTTACCATCTTTATAAATCCAACATGACCTAAATTTTCTTTTTTACTAAAACAGAAGTTAACTAGTAATACTATATTGATACTTTTAGCCTATCCTGAGAGATATTAATTACTTTTTTTGGTATGTTTCATTTATCTAGAAACCCTTGATTTTAATCAAATACTGTATTAAAGGAAACCAAACCTGAAGTGAAAGTGGAAATTAACAAATGAAGATACAGAAAGTACTTTGGTTGATTCAAAATGGGAACAACAAGTGATGAGATGGTGTCTGTGGAACACTCCTCTTCCTCCTCCTTCAATCCTCTATGTTTTGAATGTGGCCAGCAGCATTGGACAAGAGAGAATCACCTGTATAATTATCAGAATGAAGTGGATGATGACCTGGTCTGCCATATTTGCCTTCAGCCTCTATTGCAGCCACTGGATACTCCCTGTGGACACACATTCTGCTGCAAGTGCCTCAGAAACTTCTTACAAGAGAAAGATTTCTGTCCATTGGACCGCAAAAGACTTCACTTTAAGTTGTGTAAAAAGTCTAGTATTTTAGTTCATAAGCTCCTGGACAAATTATTAGTGTCATGTCCATTTTCTTCCATGTGCCAAGATGTAATGCAGCGCTGTGATCTGGAGGCACATCTTAAAAACAGGTAAGTAAAAAATATGAAAGAGTGAGAAGTAACTCTGGGTTTTATTAAAAGGTTGTTCAAACAAACAAAAACTTGATTTAAAAATGCCAAGGCATCAATAAATAATTAGACAAATAGAATATAAGAGATACAATAAATAAGTTGTATGAAACAGTATGTAACGTTAGTATTTATCAAAACCATGAATATAAAAACTACAGTGAGGAAGTACCATTTTACACCTATTAATATTTTTGCCGGTATAATATGAAGCTGATATATTTACATGGGTAGCAGGATTAAATGATCAACTGTTTTATATGACAGTTTGGCGATTTCTTTAGAAAACTGTAAATATAATTATCCTTTTATCTAGCTTATTATCCTAAGAAAGTAATACAAAAGAAGGAAAAATTGTATATAAGGATGTTCGTTACAACATTGAGCATTGTTCAGTAAATTGAAATCAGTCTACTTAACAGAAGAGGAAGAGGTAAAAGTATGATACTATATCAACTAGGTGGGATTTTTTTTTTAAGATTTTATTTATATTTTTTTAGAGAGAGAGAAAGGGAAAGAGAAAGAGGGGGAGAGAAACATCAATGTATGAGAGATACATAGATTGGTTGCCTCTCACACGCCCCCAACTGGGGACGTGGCCCACAACCCAGGCATGTACCCTGACTAGGAATTGAACCTGCAACCTTTTGATTCACAGGCCACCGCTCAATCCACTGAGGCTCAAGGCTCAATCACACCAGTCAAGTCTCAATGGGATATTATGCAGCCAAAAAAATTATAATTTTGTTGTAACATGAAAAACGGTTATATATGATTTTATTTGCCTAAGTTCATATAAAGATTCTGTGTTCAGGAACTAGTGTGAACAAGGACTAGGAGTTGGAAACTTTAAAACAGTTAATGGTTATTTTTGTTCTACTAATTAAAATGTTTTAAAAGGTTAAGTAATTCAGTTAGCTGATTATTTAGTGAGTTTTATTATTTGACTTTGGTAAAATTCTTGATCTTTAAAATTATTTATACCCCTAGGAAGGATTAAAATACATCCCATGTCTTAAGTAGGTAGAATCACATACAGTGAAAGAAATAAATGTATTGATTTATAAATTTCAAAGTTAAGCTACTTGGCAGTGTAAAGCTGCGGTAATTTTCAGTTTTGTGAAAACAATGCATAGTAGTATCATACAGGGTGGGGCAAAAATAGGTTTAGGGTTGTTCCTATGGAAAATGATACAATAATTAATAATTAATACAAGAATAATAATAAATAATAATACAAGAATAAACTGTGTTTTGTGTGCTCACAATTATAAACCTACTTTCACCCCACCCTGTATATTGGGTTTATAAATAACTGTAAATTTGGTATAGAATAGCTTGTTGTTATACTTGTACATAATATCACAGAATTGAAGGAGATTATCTAATCTAATCCCCTCACTTTACGAATCAGGAAACTGAGTCACCAAGACTTAGAGATAGTGAATGACATAGTTAGACTTAAACTTCAATATTCTTTATCATTCACATACACCATGCTGACTTGTCCACAGGTGGAATCATGTTCTCTGCTGCTATGTGGTAGTAAAAAGTTTCATACCCACGGGGTATATATGTTCATTCTGTTCCTAAATATCAGTTTTATAAAATGAGTGTACTCCTTAGAAAGAATTAAGATATGTAAGAAAGAACGAGATGTATTAAAAATATCAGAAACATGAAGATGCACAGACAAAAAAGCTTAAATCTAAGCTGTATTATTTTAAAATAAGCTAAGAAAAACGTTTGAAAATGCATGTAGCCGTAGGTTTTTGTTTATCTTCAGTCACCAGCAGGCATAGAGTCCAATCTACAGACCTTCTGGAAATGGACGCCAAACTTTGGAATATGCTAATCTGGGTCAGGCTCAGTTATAGCTGAGGTTGAAGAGTACTTTAGGCTTTTCTTATTTCTCTCAGTAGAACTATTCTTTTTAAGTGTAGATTCTTTTGTGACTCATTTATGAATATCAGTCATGAGATATTAAAGGAACTGAGGAGAGTCTCAATTCAGTTACTAATTATTTTGATAACTGATAAAAGTTTCACAAATTTTTAGGAATATTTGCTGAACTAAAATGCATACAAGAATTTAATACAGGCAAAACTCATTTTATTGTGTTTTGCTTTATGGTGCTTTATGGATGTTGTGGGGTTTTGTTTTGTTTTGTTTTGTTTTACAAATCAAAGGCAAGACCCTCCACCAGCAAAAAGATTATATAACTCACTTTATTCTGAGACTCGCTTTATTGTGCTGGTCTGGAGCCTGTGTGTAGTTGAAGTATCATTAGTATTTTCCATCAAGTTATTTATGTTGATGATGTAAAAGTTTGGCAATTACAAACTGTTCTTTCAGTTATAGGTTGATAAAGGCTAAGCAATTATGTCTAATTGGAAGTTTCATTTTCCAAGCGTGCTTATAAATATTTGAGCTACTAATTTAACCATTTCCAAAGTGTCTTAGGCCTAAATTGTGAAAGATACATTAAAAAATATGAATGATTTGAAAAGGTGGGTGACTTGATTGATATAAACACCTAAGAGTAACGATTGATTATTAAAAATAAAAAGGTAAATTATGAAGTAGAATTTTGATATCTTATTTGAATAGACGTGTCTTTAACATCCTGACCTTTCTCTAGTTTCTCAGTTAAAAATGTTGAAATTCAGATAGAAATGATTATTATCCTACCACAAATGGTTATTATTCAGTGCTAAATAATATGTAGTTCATTTGATCATTCAGTAAATATTTATTATCTACTATGTGCCAGATACTGTTCTAGTTGTTAGGCAGTCTCTGTGAACTGATAGCAGGTTAGAGTCTACTGCTGGGTTGTAAATTCCTTCAGGGGAAGGACCTCATCTTCACCAGTTTTTGAATTCCCTTGTCCAGAGTTGACACTCACCTAATGTCTGTTCAATTAAATTGTTAACCTATGTTCTGGTTATGCATTGCTGAAAAACTAACCACCCCAAATACAGTGACATGAAACAAGCATTTGGTTCTGTTCATGAATCTGTGAGTCAGGGATTCAGACGGTACACCAGCTGTGGCTTGCCTTTGTTACGCTATATCTGGGCCACAGCAGGGAAGGACTGAAAGATAGGAACTGCAACAGTTGGAACTGGAAAAGCCATTTCCAAAATGGCTTCTTTTTCACATGTCTGGCACCTTGATAGAGATAACTAGAGGCATGGGCTCAGCTAAGACTTGTCAGCTGGAGAGCCTACAGGTAGCTTCTCCTGCATGGCGGCCTCAGGGTTCTTACATGACACTCAAGTGTTCTAATGAATAAGGCAGAAGCTGCATGGCCCTGTATGATGTAGCCTTGAAGTCACATAGCATCCCTTATGCTGTTACTCTGTTTGAAGCTGTCCATACAGATGCAAGGAGAGGGGACGTAGGCTTCAATTTGTGATGGGAGGAGGTAAAAATATTTACAGCCACGTTTTAAAACCAACACAAACTAGCAACAAGAGTGGTGTCATGAGGCGCAGAATATGATCCTGACTGTGGCTCTCTGTACACAATTGCACTTATTTGTTAGGAACTAGTAATTTTTGTTGAAATGCATAAAATTTCTGCACCAACAAAATTGATTCATTCTATAAAAGTTGTATGACTATCACATGTCTTTTTTCTTGAATTTTTATAATTTGGAAATTTCTTAATAGTAAAAATACAGTATGAGAAGTAGTTTGCCATAAATCTGGTAATTTTGTGTTTAAAATTACCTTCACTGTTTGAATGAAATTCTATACTTAAGAAATCTTCAGTTTGAGAACTGCTAACATTTTTGGCTACAGCTAAAAGTAAAATATTTGTGAGAGATGAATGTGTTTTTAAATAAAATTACTAGTTATTAACTGATTATATGTTGGTAAAACAATGAAGAATTTTAAAAGATATGGGAAAGTGCTCATCTTTGAAAGGAGAATTAAAGCTTTTAAGAAATATTCTGTACATTGTATATTAAGCATGTAACAGTTTAGTAATTACTTCGTGAAATTCTGCCAAGCACCATCAACTGTAAAACATCCCTTCTCCTGTGCTCTACCCCTCATCCCTGTCTCACACTCAACAATTTAGCATTTAAAGCTTATGGGAGTTGTAAATGTTATTTTTTGTTGTTGTTAAATTGAGAATTGTGTCCCAGTTTATGGCAAAGTCCAAAATCATTTTTTTTCCTCTTAAAAATCTTATAGTTTAATAGTATGGTAAACAGTGTATACACTATAGAGGAAACCTTTAAAGAAGTTTTTTTCCCTGCTGAGATCTTTCCTAGGTCATCAAGTGGTTTTGAAGCCTTTAGAGGTCAAGGTAGTCTGAGGCAAGATTGCTCTTTCAAATTCACCTTTTAGTTTGGAGGAAAGCTTGAGTTTGGCATATTCTTACCAACATTCTTTTCTCATATATAATGTAAAAAGTATGTATATATGCAAATAATATATTTGGTAAGAGTTTAGTATCCAGAATATGTACAGAATTCTTACAATTAATAAAAAGTCATTCAGTTTTAAGTGGGCAAAGGATTTGAATAGATGTATTCTGAAGGTTATATTTGAGTGGCCAGTAAGAACATGAATAGATGCTCAAAATTATTAGTCCATTTTTATAATGGATTATTGTGTTTTTGTAAGTTGTAAGCATTTTATGTATATTCTGGTTATACACCTATATTAAATATACGATTTGCAAATATTTTCTCTTGTTCTATCAGTTGTATTTTCACTTTCCTACATCCTTTCAAGGACAAACTAAAGTTTAAATTTTATGAAGCTCAGTTTAATCTATTTTTTTCCCTTCATTTGCATGTGCTTTTGGTGTCATATCTAAGAAAACTTTGCTGGCCCTGGCTGGGTAGCTCAGTTGATTAGAACATCATCCCAACATGCCAAGGTTGTGGGTTCAATCCTTGGTCAGGGCACATACAAGAACCAATCAACAAATGCATAAAT